GGCTTGATAAATTACTATGCAAAGTTCATAGGGAATCTGTCTGGTAAACTATCACCATTGTTCAAGCTGCTGCAGAAAAATGCAACTTGGAACTGGGGTAAACAACAAGATGCTGCTTTTAATGCAGCAAAAGAAGCTTTGTCTTCTGACACCTTACTAACTCACTATGACCCAGGGAAAAGACTTATCTTAACATGTGATGCTTCACCAGATGGTGTAGGAGCAGTCTTATCCCACATAGATGAAAAGGGTGACAGACCCATTGCTTTTGCCAGTAGATCTTTGAACCAGGCTGAGAAAAATTATTCTCAGTTAGATGGGGAAGGCTTAGGCATCATATTTGGTGTTAAGAAATTTCACAAGTTTCTGTTTGGTAGGGAGTTCACCATCTTTACAGATCATAAACCATTGCTAGGTTTGTTTGGGGAAAACAAACCCCTGCCAGAGCATGCCTCGAAAGAATTTAAAGATGGGCTATCACACTAACTGCATACAATTATGAATTGAAATACAAACCTGGATCTGAGAATAGTGCAGATAGTCTTAGTCGATTACCTTTAAAAAACCAAAGCCTTAGTTATGTACCAGAAGATGTATTTGTTCTTTTCACTATCATGGATAACTCCAATATAAATGTGAATGATGTTAAAAGAGAAACACAAAAAGATGAGTGCTTAATAAAAGTATATGAGTACTGTAAGAATGGTTGGCCTGAAGAGTCTGTGAATGATGACTTAAGGCCATATAAAATAAGAAAAATGGAGTTAAGTCTAGAAGATGGATGTGTACTATGGGGGTCAAGAGTTATTATCCCCAAAATGTTACAAAAAGAAGTTTTAAGAACTTTACATGATACTCATCTTGGTTCTTCCAAAATGAAAAGTCTTGCACGATCGTGGTTCTGGTGGCCACATATGGATGCTGATATTGAAAAATATGTAAAGCTTTGTTCAAGCTGTGCACAACATTCAAATCAACCAGCTACAGCACCTTTGCAAAACTGGGACTGGCCAATCAAACCATGGAAACGTATACATATAGATTTCGCAGGACCCTTCATGAACAAAATGTTCTTAATTATTATTGATTCACATTCTAAATGGTTAGAAGTTAAAATCATGAACACAATCACTGCAAATGATACCATTATAGAACTTAAGGAAATATTTTCAACTCATGGATTACCAGATCAAATTGTTTCAGATAATGGTCCTAGTTTCACTGCTCATGAGTTTAAACTGTTTTGTGTAGCAAATGGTATTGAGCATATAACCACATCACCCTATCACCCTGCTGGGAATGGTTTGGCTGAAAGAGCGGTAGGCATATTCAAAACCGCTATGGTAAAAATGAGTACCGGTAACAAATTTTCTCTCAGAGAAAGAGTAAACAGGTTCTTAGCCAAATACCGCACAACTCCTCATATAACAACAGGTGTTGCACAATTGCGAATTGTTATGTGGTAGGAAAATTAAAACTTATCTTGACCTACTACATCCAACTGTTCAAAGGTCTGTTTCCCAACATCAACATACACAAAAATTAAATCATGACAAAACATCCATTGAAAGAGAATTTGGTGTTAATGATAATGTGTATCTGAGAAATTATGGGAGAGGGGAAAAATGGATGCCAGGTCAAATTGTTCAATGTACAGGACCTGTGTCTTATAAAGTAAAAACAAATGATGGACTTATTGTCCGTAGACATGCAGACCAGTTAAAAATAACTTGTGCAGATAATAAGTGTGAATCTATCAATCCCACCAAATCTGAACAGTTCACACAACTCAGTTTGTTCCACAACCAAGTTCTGTTGATATGAGTGAACCAAGTACTCTAGAGTCAGAAAATGTAAATTCTGGAATTAATGATTTAGATCCTAGACTTCCTGAGCTAGAGAATCCAGATGGTCAGAATCTTGAGTCACCAAATCAAAAGCAACTGAGAAGGTCAAACAGTACAATCAAAGTCCCAGATAAGTTAGACCTATGATTTTAAAGGTCAAAAGGACTTTGACATCATTGTTTTGTATTTTAATTATGCTGTGGCATATTATGCATTTGTTTGTTATGCATTAATTATTGTTTGACCTAGATTCTAGATCTATAAATAACTCCCTTCGACAGCTGATCTTTAGGTTCTAGATCTAGAGAAATTTATTGTATACTTAAATGAAAAGGACTGTTGAAAATTGATATAAGTGTTTGAACATAATAAAAAATAGCAAACAGACGTATCGTTATAGCTATAGCCGACAGAACATTAGCTATATAATGCGTTATACTTACTTTTGAATTAGCAACAAAATCTTGTATGGAAGCCGCCATTATTGTTGTAAAAAGTAAATAAATCAGGTGACGTCACTATTCACTATAAGTAAAGTCATTGTTCTGAACATTTATAATTAATGTAGTTAATCTACCAATGAATTAATCAATAAATTAATTAACGTCTTTAAATTAATTTGTGATTAACAGTCTGTTTAAAGAGAAAATTGTTCTCTATCTGAATACTATTTTACAGCTCTACACATAGTGCAGATTCTCTCCAGTAACCAAACGGACAAACAAAAAAAATATTCAAACATGTAAACAAACTTGAGTTTTAGATAGATATTCCAAAATATTCTAATTTACTACATAAGTAAGCAAACATTATATTACATAACATATAGATAATTATTTTGTATTTAGTAATATAAATGAATATAGTAGTTATCATCCCATCCATTATCTTGTCATATCACAGTGATGCTAGAAATTTGGAAATGTAGGTGGAGATTGATGGTGAGCGGAAGAATGTTCTAAGATATATTTTTATTTTCTTCTTGAGAATTTTAAATAACTGCGTTTTTATAAATGTGGGTGTAGTGTTTTAGTAAATATTTGTAAACTTGAAAGGCATGGTTTACAATAATAATTCGACTTCAGTAAGTAAACACACTACTCACGATCCAAAAATCAGTCACTCATCTCACACCATACACATGATTCATCACATGACAACACACCACACTGCAGTCAGGCTAAATTTACTGCTCAATTGTTGGTTTTCACTATAAAAACTAAAGTTTAATGTTTGCATTACAAGCTTCATTTTTTTTTTACAAAATAAATTAAATGCATGGACTAAGTTATAAATACCATCTGTCTTCACCTCCTACCCAGACATTGTTTATATAAAGCCGACGCTCCCTAAAATAACACAGTCCGGACCAGCGATCGCTTATGTCAATACAATTATTTGATTTTAGCGTTACAAACAGCAGCCGAATTGTGATAAATGATTGAACATCTGTAACCCTCACTCAGTGGGGATGCTTTTACCCACTGAGGTGTTGTGGTTAAGACGGGCTGACCCTGAGATTAAGTACACACCGACACCGACAGTTGTTGTCCAGTACTCGTTTATTTATAGCATCGAGCCATGACGGCGATGCAACACAAAACGAACTAGCCAAGATAGACCAAAAGATCCAAACAATCCAAAAGACCAAAAGATCAAAAGATCAAAAGATCAAAATAGAAAAAGAAACTGTAGCCCTAAAACAAATGTAAAATAAAAAAGTTACATTCAGGACAACACCACGTGTAAGCTCCAATATACACGGGTACAATAAATTATGTTTTCGGCCAGTACACAGTACTGCCAACAAGTACCAATAAGTAGTACTACAAAATAAATACTTAATTTAATACATCACCCTAACTAGTGTGCACATGCAGCACTAGCAGGAATACATAAGTAAGTACTTTAACAAACATAATTTAAATATCTACACTACCTTCATTAGGTCTACATCTTGGTCCACAGACAGCAGCCTTGCGTGTGCGACACGACTAGGCACATGTCACATGACATGGAACACAGGTAATTTCGCTCACAAAAGCATAAAAAAACGTCAACAGTTCAGTTGCAGTCCCACAGGGGCCGCAACCCAATGAATAAAAACTTCATAGTTTTATCCCCCTTTTGGCTGGTAACCATATGTGTTACACAGCCCCCCTCACAAATAAATGTACAATGTTACATTTACATTTACATTTACACTCATACATAATAGTACTTAAAAAAAAAGTTCAGTACACTAGTACACAGACATTAAGTCCTTTCAACTTAAATAGATTATTCCCGGCAAACCGGTAGAGGCTCCAGTGCAGGTACTGGTCACCACTTGATGCGCCAGGTTGAGTCGCTCGACGGGTCGTCGTTGACGGGTTGACCTCCGCAGCTCCACTGGTGGTTCTGGGTTGATCCAAGAGTCATCCTCGTCCGATGCCTCGTCCCTCGCATTCACCTCATCCAGATGTGGGGCTGGCCTGACCATCACCTTGTCTTGTCCGTCCCGGGCGACAACCTCTGGCACGAAAGGCGTTGCCTCCGGCCGAAGTCTAGTTGGGACCACTACCTTGATTGTCAGTTCCTCACCTTCATCTGCCTCACTGGTTGATATGACCTCTCTCCGTCGCTCCCCCTCCGCCACAGTGGGTTCAGCACTCGACATTGTATAGTCGGGTCGCTGCCAACCACGGCGGCGTCCACCACGTCGTCGGCCTCTCCTCCGGCGGCGTCTCCGACCTCTGCTTGTGTCATGTCTGTCTCCCAAGCGACGATCTTGCTCGCGCTGAGACTGACATTCATGGTGTGGCTGTCTACCCTCCTCACGCGCACCCTCCGGCTGCAACCCTCCTCCACGGCGGAACACCCGACAGCCGTACCTCCAGCCGTTAGGCGAGGTAACCTGAGCTGTGGTTGCTCGACACTGTGATGATCTCGGTGGCGTAAACTTGGGCTGGGAGCTCGGCAGAACACGCATCAGCATCCGCTCCCCGACGCTGATGGATTGGCGTTTCCCTGCTGCTGACCCCGTTGCCTAGCTGCTTTTCTCGGACAGTCGCGGACGAAGTGCTTCGTGGACCCGCACCCGTAACAAGCTCCTCTGGAGGGCTGTTGTTTCCGGGCTAGGATATCTGCCACCTTCTCCGCCAGACGGTCGAGTTATTCCTCCGTGAGCATCAGCGGCGTAGTCTCCTGGCGACCAGCTACCGTTACTGCGTCGACCTTCTGCGCCAGACGGTCGAGTTGCTCCTCCGTGAGCATCAGCGGCGGCGTCGTCTCTTGGCGAACAGCTGCCGTTACTGCGTCGACCTGGACAGTCCTGTTAGCTGCTGCCGTGGCTTCGACTCGAAACTCAGTCGTCCCGTCCAGCCTTCTAACAGCTTTCAGGACGTCCCCCAACTTTGGGCTGGCTTCCCCTGGGAAACCAAATGTGCCACGAAGTTCGAGCGCCAGAAGAGGTGAAACCCCCTTGCAGAAAGTGTGATACACCTTCTTCTGGGCATCGGCCTCAGTAAAGCTACGCTGCTGGTTTAGCTTCGTCATCTCTGACCACAGTCGGCAGAGAAATTTTGACGCTGACTCTCTTGGATGTGGAGTGAGTCGGCTGAACTGCAGATACCTGTCATCGGCACATCGAGTGTCGCCAAAAGTGCTTTGTAGTAGGCTTAGCACTTCCTCTGGACTCGTAGCCTGCTTTACATGCTCATAGGCAATCCCTCTCAGGCTGCCTAAAATGCGCGGCAACGGGTTCGGAACGCTGGTGTTCCGCAGCAAACATTGCACTTGGGTTTCCCAGTCCGGGAAACTCACCTCCCCTCCTCCAGTGGGGGGAAGGCCGGTGAACAGGTTCAGCCTATTGTGTGTTGACATGCACACCTCCACCGTCACGGGCCGCTGCGCACTTGTCTGTTCTAGCTCCGCCATCGTAGCCCTCAACTTGGCCAGCTCCTGCGACAACTTCTCAAACGTCGGCTCACCGTGTTCCATCCTACCTCTCAAAGTCAAGCCCCACGTTGGGCGCCAAATGTAACCCTCACTCAGTGGGGATGCTTTTACCCACTGAGGTGTTGTGGTTAAGACGGGCTGACCCTGAGATTAAGTACACACCGACACCGACAGTTGTTGTCCAGTACTCGTTTATTTATAGCATCGAGCCATGACGGCGATGCAACACAAAACGAACTAGCCAAGATAGACCAAAAGATCCAAACAATCCAAAAGACCAAAAGATCAAAAGATCAAAAGATCAAAATAGAAAAAGAAACTGTAGCCCTAAAACAAATGTAAAATAAAAAAGTTACATTCAGGACAACACCACGTGTAAGCTACAATATACACGGGTACAATAAATTATGTTTTCGGCCAGTACACAGTACTGCCAACAAGTACCAATAAGTAGTACTACAAAATAAATACTTAATTTAATACATCACCCTAACTAGTGTGCACATGCAGCACTAGCAGGAATACATAAGTAAGTACTTTAACAAACATAATTTAAATATCTACACTACCTTCATTAGGTCTACATCTTGGTCCACAGACAGCAGCCTTGCGTGTGCGACACGACTAGGCACATGTCACATGACATGGAACACAGGTAATTTCGCTCACAAAAGCATAAAAAAACGTCAACAGTTCAGTTGCAGTCCCACAGGGGCCGCAACCCAATGAATAAAAACTTCATAGTTTTATCCCCCTTTTGGCTGGTAACCATATGTGTTACACATCATTAAAATGAACCGGGAGTGATCTCACCTAAACTTTCTCGAACATTCTTATATAACAATACGGGGGATGGCAACTCGGGATATAGACATGATTTTTAATCCATTTTAATTACTTAAACTTTTAAAAATAGAATAGAATCTGTTAGAGGAAAGAATTGCGCAACAAGTAAATGCCAAACAAAATGTGTATAATAGTGTGGAATATTATTAGTACTTTATACATTTGCATGCGTTTTTTGAGAAATCGGAAATAGCGTAAATTACTACTTCCCGTCAACGGAAATAACTTAAAATTAGACAGAAGGAAAAGAATTAAATCGTTCACTTACGTGTGAAATTTCATTAATCTATCTTAAACAGTACTCAAGATATATGCTTTGAAATATTTAAAGTAGATTAAGTTCCACTTCCGGCTACCGGAAACCGCTGAAAAGTTGAAACAGAACTACAAGTTTGATACATTGTACTTATATATGAAATTTCATCAATCTAGCTGTAACGGTACTCAAGTTATCGTTGTTCATAGACACGCATACACACAGCCATATACATTTAAAACAAGTTAATAAAAAGTCTAGTGACAATTTAAGCGCAATTTCCTTAATTAATTTTTTGTGACCGAACGAATCACCCGTAGATGTTTGCACAGACGAGCAGAGCTAGTCCCCGCCCCCTCGCGAGATGTGCGCGAGTCTTGTCAATGGCAGCGTGTTACAAGTAGACGTTACCTCTCACTAGCGACTGCCTCAGCCGGTGTTGGTTTGGAACTTCACCGCTTCGCTTCTTCTAGAAATAGTTGTATACTCTTAGTAATCTTAGCCAATACAAATTAGAAGAAATTAATTTTTTGTGACCGAACGAAAGGATATTTTTGAAAACTTTCTTCGGCAATATTGTTCTAAATTATGGCAGAAATCGATTGGTAAATGTTTCAAGTCGCTAAGTGGTCTGGTTGCCGAGATATGGGCCACAAACTGCATTTTTTCGAGGCTTTTTGGCTTTTCCGGGAAATCCAGGAAGGAATTCCGGAATTTTTTTGGCCCACAATCATCCTTGGAACTTGCTTAACATATTTTCTTTTGGAACTAGTCCTCGATATTGCTTCGTTGAGGAGGAGATACGACTTAAAGCTGCGGACACACATCCATCCATCCATCCATCCATCCATTCCCAGAAATGACGAGTTAATAATCGCAATTCTCCAGAATGGAAATTGCACTAAAAATTAAAAGCTGATTTTATGCTGCAGTATTTAATTATAATCAGTCTACTTTAAAGAAATGTAATGGCTACAAGCCTGTTAATACTGATTTAACTGTTTTCTATCTTGATTGTGCTACTGTAAAACATATACCCTTAAGAAACAGTGACCGGCAAAAACCGAATTCCAGCTTTCCGCTTTCCCTAGATTGCGGGGGGGGGGGGGGGGGGGGGGGGGGCTTTTGCGTGCGACTGAAATAGGAAGAATTTACACTAGATTGGTGAGTCGATAGACGTTACCACTTATAAAAGAAACCAATTTGTTTTAAAGCGTATTGTACGATTGTTTAATCGTAAAAATGTAGTAACTGTTATCAAGATAGTGCAGGTGGGGGGGGGGACGTTTTTTCGCTAAATAAAATCGCAAGGATTTACACTGGATAGGAAAAGAGATAACCTTTATCACTTAGAAAAGAAACTAATTGCACTAAAGCGCAGTGTACGACTGTGGAACCTTTTTAAATGCTAGTTACGTTAAAACCTGCTCTACCAACTTTGTCTAAGATGGGGGGGGGGCGCTTTTTTGCGAACAAAAATCGATAGTAATTGTACTGGATTGATGCGTAGATAACTCTTTTAATACTTAGAAAAGAAATAAATTGTCTTAAAGCGTATTGTGCAACAGAAAAATAAGAAAAGAGATGGTGTAAATGGGAAGGATTTACACCGGAACGGTGAGTAGATAAATCGTTTAACACTTAGATTATATACCAATTGTAAAAGCGCGTAATGTACATTTTCACTAGCCAGTTTTGTTAAGAAATGACGCGAATAGTTCTTTGAAAGATTCTTACGATTCTCCCGACTTCACCGCGAGGGATCAGATAATTTTACTTGATAGCATTAAGTCTTACCTGAATCACTGTATTAAAGAGAAATACATATCACCGACTCTCAAATCGCTATCCGATCAGTAAAATAGCATAGGGTCGGAGCGGAAGACGATACTCTTGTCGAAATTTTAAGAGCTCAAAACAAAAGTACATTGTACCGAATAGATATTTTTTTATTGCTTGTTTCATAACAAGACCTAATACTGCAATGTTCTTATAGTTAAGGCCACTAGACCTACTAAATGATGTGAAAATGGTACAACACAGCGATTGCTAACGGGGAAAATATTTAGCACTTTCTTTTGCTACAGGTCAAAGCACCTGTCAACAAAATTATTTTATGTATTTCTAGCCTTAGTCCTTGCACACAACGTACACTTCACAGCATCCGTCAACAAAAATATTTTAACTATTTCTAACCTTAGTCCTTGTACACGACTTACACAGCGTATTCTTATTGGCACAGCTGATGATTTCCGGGTGTTGGTCAACTTTCAGATTTTTACAGAGAATATCCTTTCAACCTTTCTGTCTTTAAAAAGAGATTCATAATTTACACAGCCGATTATTCCAAAAAACAAAAAATAAAACAAAGACAGTTTGTTTTTAATAACGGTAAGGCAATAGATTGCTTTATCTCCCAAAAGGTCACTGTGAAGAAAGAAATTTCACCATCTAAATTTAATGAAGCAATCATTTTACATTGTTTTACTAAATGTCGACAGATATATTCATTAGTACGTGACAATTGGACTAGTAATTATAATAATAACATATTGTGGTAGTATATTTTATCTGATATTTCAAAGGGGGCGAAAAACTTATGAATAATTGCTAGTTTTGAGGGCTTTTCGTGATTGTTTTTCGTTTAATCTCAGATAGGTGAATATTAAAAAAGAAGGAATATTTTAAAGGTTATTTAATGACCTAAACATATTAATTCCATCCGTTTAATTATTCAACGTAAACTGCAAACAATTTATAGATGCACTGACGCTTGTGTATTGCAATCTTAGTGCTAAAACAAACTTATAACTAATATCTGATTTGAAAAAGGAGTTAAGTATTATCATGTGGTGGCTACGTGTTGCTAGTTTATGTTTGGTTACGAGTGGTAAGTATGGAAAATATGTACGTAATTTTTTAAGCATTATAAAACTTGAACAGCGCTAGAAAAGGAAAGTATATAAAGGTGGTCAAAATTTGAAACAAGTGGCTGTGGTGTGGTCAGTGGCTTTGAACTTTTGAAGATAAATAGAAAAAGGATCTGTTTTTTTAAAGCTTTTATTGTTATTAATTTGAATATACGGATAAAAACATGCAATGTCATATATTACAGTAATTTCCTCCATGACCAAGTTCCCCCTCAAGGACTGCAGGTCTGGAAACTTTGATCTGTTGTTTCATGTCGGTTCTGTAGACGCCCACCAAAAGACGAGACTCAAGGCTATTGTAAATCTTTTTTCTCCAAGTGACCACAACAAGAACCTCAGGCTTGCTTTGTTCCTTGCTGGACACGACAACGGTTTTAAAACTTTGATTGACTTTCAAGATCACAGCAGCTTCACGGATGTCATTAGTATCATAGACGGTCTTAAGACAGAAGATGAAATAAATCTTCAGTTTGTTGATTCAATTTTAAACCACTCCATGAATTATCTTCAGACACACGAGGACATGAACAGAAACAAAACTCAAGCGATTCTAATTCTCTGTGAGTATTGTCTGTTTAATGACAGTGCAGATTCCACTAAGACTGAAATAGATCTAGAACTAAATGATGGGGTAGCTCATACGTTTATAATACAAGTTTCTGAATTTCAAGACCTGACCAAAGAGATTGAGAAGTACGGGTTGTTTGTCATGACGTCTTTAGATGACGATCTGGTGGACAACCAGTATCTGTCCATGACTCTTTGTGGTCAGTGTAACACTGGCTGGGTCATGTACAAGAGTCAGACGAACCCTGACCTACAGTCCTGTTATAAACTTGCAGTATCGGAGTCACTAGTGAGTCATAAAACAGCGTCATATATGTGTACACGTCTCAATTCTCAACTGGTTGTCATGGAAACAAAGGAAGAATTTGAGTTTATAATAGAATTGTTGTCAGACTTTCCAAATAAAACAAAAGCAAAGCTACATACAGGCCGTAACTTGTTTT